CATTTATTATTCTCAGAGCATCCTCAATGCTCCGTAGTCTAGTCTAAATATAATGCGACACATCATCATTTTAGACACCGGTTATTTTTTCTCCTTCCAACGCTTCTAGTAAGATAAATTCTATGGTACCCATAAGGTACCATTGTCCACATGGACCAATGAGAATGTAGCAGTTGAATTATTTAAATCTAAATTAAAAATGATAAAGTGATGTGGTCCAATCAAATGAATGATAAGTACGATATCCCATATTTTAGAAAGGTACCGAAGTTGTCACCTTCTAGTAATCTAGTCTAGCAACATATTTTGCTGATTTGGCAAAAAGAAACTGCACGCCGTGAAGAAGGATTTCCCATCTTAAACATTCTCCTAAACTTGAAGGCTCAGCAAAAAAGCGGGTGAAGAAGGATTTCCCATCTTAAACATTCTCCTAAACTTGAAGGCTCAGCAAAAAAGGAACCGCTCTTCGATTTTCTAACTATACTCTATCACCATTCACGTATGATATCTTTGGTTGTTGAATTTCATAATTTTGTTTAATTTAAAACTCCCAAAACTTCTTTCACATTTTTTTAAAAATTTTAATGCTTCTATGTTCGTAAGTATTTGTGAGAGAATCTGATTAACCCACTTCAGAGTGCTGATTATCCTTCTCAGAGCATAAAGACGTCAATGGTTTTTTAAAAAAAATCAGACGTCAATGGATTATAGGAATTGTCCATGTAGTGAAATGAAAAATAAATAGAAAAAGATTATTATGTTGCACCAATGCTATTAAGTTTGTGTTGACAAATGACAAGTGAAAACTATCGGATGGTTTATGTATAAACAAAATTCCGTATATGGAAGTCGTTAGTAAAATAATAAGGAAATCCACATCTACACTTGAGACTTTATGCATTGGAAACATTTTTCAAATTTCAATGTACAGTCGATTCACTTTGGCTTATGTAGATTAGAAAGTCATTTAAATTTTTGACATTTGACTTATTTTATTTAGACTAGAGACTATTATTGCATTGTGGATGCTCTTATATATATAGTGGTTGTTATCTTATTTGGACCATTTGCTATAGGGGTGGGTTCGGTTCAAACGGTTCGGTTTTCACCTAAAACCAAATGCTGAACCAAAGTAAAAAGTTTGGTTTGGTTCGGTTCGGTTTTATATTAAAAAATTTGGAAACATGGTTTGTTCGGTTCGGTTTATTTCGATTTGGTTTCAGTTTTTTCGGTTTTTAACAAAGTATTTTTGTTGATTAGAAAAATAGTAATTGGAAAGAAAAAACAAAAAAAATAAACTACACCAAACTATTATTTATAGTAATACAATACAAAAACATACATAATTAATAAAGAGAGAAGAAACAAATGCACTTGCAAACAATGAATTAGAGAGTATGTGTATACCAATTTAAACATTTTCTAAATTAATTAAACGCATGACTTTATTTGTGAATTATATAAAGAGTATTCACAAGTTAAAATTTTATTAGTAAATAACTTAATCTACTTTTTTTAGCCAAATATATTTATGCTCTAAAGTTTCACATTTTCTGTTATGTTGTTTAAAGTATAGCTTATATTAATACATACTTTTTCAATATAAAAAATTATGTGATAACAAACATATATAACATACTCCGTATAATATATCAACAAAGTATCATTGTGATGCAACAACAAGCAAAATGTAAATTACGATTTAAAATATTAACATATTAGTATTATAGTAATAGACTTAAGTTTAAGTACAAGTGTTTCAATTAATTTTACAATAAATATTAAATGTCAATATCTTGCAAATCATAATAAATCTAGTATCAAACATTAACTTTCTAGAATTAAGAATTAAGAACTAAACAAAATATTATACTTAATGATTAATAAATAAAATAACAACTTTTAAAAAGTTTGGTTTTTCGGTTCGGTTCGGTTTTGAGATGTGAAAACCAAAAGCGAAACCAAACAACTACGGTTCGGTTCGGTTTTTTGAGTTCAGTTGCGGTTTTCTTGCGGTTTGGTTGTTTTGGTTGCGGTTCAGTTTTTTTCGATTCGGTTTTCGGTTTCTCCGACCCACCCCTAATTTGCTAGTCATTTCATTGGGCTCATATATTTTAAAATTATGTAATTTAGGTAATTTGGCTTAAAGAGAACGTAACTTTGTGTATAATTCTACTATCTTACTCCCTATGTATTTATCAATCTACTTCACTTTTATGAGTTTTATCTATCTGCAAATACTTATACAGAGTACAATTTTTTTTACTGCACTCTCTCTTGTTTTAAAGTATCTGTTATGTTAAATGTCAACATATTTGGCTGAGATGCGTTTCGAACCTATGACCTCCTTCTTGAGAGTGTCACAGTGATGTTATTGAACCATAAGGTGGTTGGCTATACGGAGTACAATATAGAAATTTCAATTATGCATACTATTTTTCAGATATCTCAATTTTTTCATCAATCTTCAAATTGGAACCATGACTATCAATTTAGGATGAATTAGTTTTGCGTTCGGGCGTTGCCCTGAGTACAACTTGTATATGAATTTGTAATTTATATGTTGTTTATATATGTGTAATGTTTCTTTCGTATAAATTTTGGAAGTTCTCTAGCTCATTGATAAAAATTAATGAAACTTTTATTAATATGATGATATAATTGTTTCTACACTTCAATAATCTAATCATTTTATGTGATTACGATTCATTCTTACTTTATTCACAATTTACAAATTCAGTACCAACTACACAATTCTATTTTTCTTCATAAACTCATCACTCCCTCTTGTCCCAATCTTACGAGAGTAGAAGTAATACTTCTTTTTCAAAAGTTAAAATGTTTTTAAGATGTTGATCTCCTTAACTTTTCGAAAACCGCTTTTAGGAGCAATTCATATCACTTCGAAGTGTTTCTGCACATTCACCTAAACGTACACTTTTTCCTCTGAAACACATTTATGTAGTAGATCCAAACACCCTTTATCTATTTGTTGGGTTAATGGCCCAATTAGAGGATCGGCCCACGTACATAACCCCTCTGTGGACGAACGTCCAAGCCCAACAAGAGTAACAGATAGAGAAGGACGTCTCCGTGAAACCGTAGCAGGTACACCTCCAGGCCCAAGGTATATGTGACGCACGTCTCCATACCTTTGCCTACGACCGCAGAAGATAAAGCCCAAGGCTAGCTAGCACCCTTTCTCACAAGGTCTAGAAGACGTACGGCCACAACTCTTTGCAGTATTGCCAAGAGTATGCCCCAGGTTCAAGGGGATGCTTGTCTCCATGATTAGGGGAAACCGAGATCTTGGCGGGAAGCGCATTTAATGCTAAAGATTTGGTGGTTGAGGATCCAGCCATTACTGGCCCTCCACGTCAACATATCTATCTGCCCCTTGGCAGTATAAATAGTAGCATTTATTTCAGTGTAAAGAGTTGACAACTTACCCGCCTTAGCATTCTAGCATTCAGATACTTCTTAGCATTGTTCGCAGCTCTTCTGTTGAGTAGTTAGACGAATGGCCATTGGCCAGATAACATTAGTGTGTTGTACGAGCTCTTATTATCACTTAATAAGAATACAGCCCACTATCTCATATACTTCTTTCTTGGCCCATCTTACTCGCTGTTTTCACACTCAAACACATCATCCACTCGAAATCCATAGGCTTACGTGTTGGGCCTACAGGTTGAATAAACCTCAATTCCATGGTATATGTTGCTATATAAGTTCGTTTGGAAGATTTCCATGAAATAGCACCACTTCCAAGAGTATAGACATATCCACTTTTGGATTTAGTGTCCTTAGAATCACATATCCAATTTGCATCCTTATATCCTGAAGTACGGTTGGATATTTTTTAAAATGTAAACCTTAATCTTAGTATACATCAAATATCCAAGTACCCTTAGAAGCGCTCTCATGTGTTCTCTATCGGGGATTTATTGAAAACTTTCTTAGCTTATTCCGAGCTTGAGCTATATCGGGCCATGTGTCATTCATGACATACATTAAACATCCTACGACTTGAGGATAGTAATCTGGTGATACACTTTATACTCTGTTTTTACTAAGGTGAACACTGGAATAAAATAGAGTTCTCATGGGTTTGATATTATACTTTTTGAATCTCTCAAACATTTCCTCAATGTAGTGTGACAGGGACAATATCAACCCTTCAGGTGTTTTGATGATTTTACATCCGCAACACCCACTCATGGGTTTCAAATTTGCTGGCCAACATACTTTTGGTAGACTTTATCAAGATTTCATTACTACCAAAGATGAGCATATCATCTACGTATAGATATACTATCACGTAGTCCTTATGATTGCCTTTACATAGACACACATGTCGGCCTCATTGATTTTTAATACATTTGATAACATTATGTCATCAAATTTATCCTGTCATTGTTTGGTGTCTTGTTTAAATCCATAAAGAGATTTTACTAAGCGACAAACATTCCTTTCTTGTCCAGGGATAATGAAACCTTCAGGTTGTTGCATGCGAATCTCCTCCTTTAAGTCATCGTTCAAGAATGCAATTTTTACATCCATTTGATTGGATTTGCAAACCCTTCAATGCAGCTATTGCTAATAGCCTTTGAATTGAAGTTATTCTTGTAACCGGTGAGTAGACTCGAAGTAGTCAAACTCTACCTTTTGGATGTACCCTTTGACAACCAATCAAGCTTTGTACTTCTAAATTGTTCCATCAATTTTTCTCTTCTTTTTTGAAGATCCATTTACACCCTAGAGGTTTAGATCTAGGAGGCAAATCAACCACTTTCTTATATGTGGTTAGACCACTACGTACCTTTTATAGAATCAAAAGCCCTCTTATGTGAGCTTAGCTCATCGACATGGGGTGGAATAAATATATCCATGTCGAATGAAACAACCTCACAATCTCCCTTGAAAGCACTACTAGAAAAATGCTCTACAGTGACACCAAATTAGTGTCACTGAAAGTTTCTGTAACACTAAAAAAGTGTCTGATGGATTATATGGACTCCGACCCCTCGGTATGCCGACTACTGGGCCTGGACAGCGGCCCACACACGTTTAGCAGATATCATTAATATTATTGTACATTATTATTATTATTCAGATGTTCTAAATTAGCTTTTTATACTATCAGTCCATTTATGTAACCGGGTCTGTCAGGCCCATATTAGAGGCCCAGACCCGGATTTTCCCTATATATACTCCTTATAGGAGACTTGTAACTCATATTACAAAGATTCATTCTATACCCATTTCCTTCTTCTTCATCATTCCTTCTCCTACATTCTTGTTCAATTTCTCTTAGTTATAGATTATGGGTATCAATTATCCAACAATGGTGCTCTTGTTGAGAGGTTGAATACAATCAAGTGAGAAAACCTCCCCAAATTACCCAAAAAATTTACCCAAACCACAAAGAATCAGCAAGAAACTGTTCTGGAAAATAAAAGAAAAAAAGAAAAATGCCAGCAAGAACGGATCGGAAACGAAGAATCTGACATTTCCCAAATTTCTGCTGCAGCAACCGGAGCTGACAACCGCGCCGCCTCCGTGCATCATTAGCTGAGACTCGCTGCTTGTAGGAAGTCACCTACTCCCATCCCAGACCTGACCGGAGATGTCATCACCGCTCCGGCCGCCGTCACGCGCCATAGCAGAAGTTTTCCGCCCGCTGGAGCTCCCCACCCATTTCCAGATCTTGGTCGCCGCCGTCCATAGTAAGCTGAAGCTCAGTTCAGATTCTGTTTCCGTTGCTGCAGATCTCGCAAACCGTTGCTGCCGAACTTGCCTGCGCTGCTCCAAGTTATGGTCGTCGCAGCCTTGATGGACTCCACCAAACTTGGAGCTGTGGCCGCCGTCAGTCATCGTTGGGCGCTCCTCACTATTTTTGTCCGCAAGAACTGACCCTGTACAGAGAGAACAAGCCTTGCAGAAACCAGATCTTAGCATATCCGCCATTAATGGCCGGCGGGAAGGGAAGACGACCTCAAAACGGCAATGGTCCCCCCACCGCTCTAGTCGCAGCGCCGCCAAACGCCGTTTGCAGTCGCGCCGTCACCTCGCCGGTCTCTGGTCACAGCTCGCTTTGCCGGCTTCTAGCCAGCAGGTCTCTTATGTACCATCATTGCAGCGCCGCTTGCAACTTGCTCACTACGTCGCCAGCCGCCTCCCGCTAGGATTCAGCTAGATAAACTCAAGCTGCCGCGACGAATGAGAGGTCCTGCCCTTCGCCGACGTCGATACTTTCTCCTTAGCATGCGGATTTGGCACTAGAATCTCCCTAGTTAGGGTGCTCCTACGACGTACGCTACATCAGTGGCTTTTGTTTTGCCAAGCTAATGAAGTTGGGCCAAGCTTGGGTTAAAAGAGATAGGCCCAAGATATTCTATTTCAAGGTGGTTTCAATGGGCCTCAGTTTAAGCAACATATCTCAGCCCAAACTATCTAGATTTCAGTCCACTTCAAAAAGATAAGTACACTTTAATTTTAACATTATTTATATTTATTTAAATCATTTTTTGTCGATAAATGGCACACTATCACGCACTTATGATCAAATACCTAGTAGAGTGTGGCTTGAGACCCATCACTAGGATTTAAAGCCCTGACTCCTCAGGCACAAAGCCCTGTCTCCTCAGGCACAAAGCCCCGACCAAGTTGGGCATGAAGACAAAACCCCGACCAAGTCGGGTACGAAGACCGGTCTTAGTCATTCCTCGAGTGGCGACCGTTGCTTACGAATGGCTCACACATCCATTCTACTAAGTATTTTATCATTACATTAACCATTCACATCTCCACTTGTTTCAAGTGACGAACTCCCGATCGGGAACATAAATCCCAAGAAAAAAATTTTATATGTATGATAAATGTGTAGGTACGAAGATGACTTTACTCATTTTCACATCGTCTCCACTCGCCTCAAAGAATGGGGACTGGGGGACTGAGGGGTCAGAGTTTCTAGATGAGCAGAAAACATCACGCAAGAGCAGGAACGAGAGCTGAGTCAGTTGAAGAGGAGCTGAGCTAGATTGATTATGCCAGAGAGGATTTACCTTCCTTATTTCATGTTGGGGGCGCTAGGTGTACTCTTTTTCCCTTTATTAGGATTTTTTCCCACTGGGTTTTTCCTAGTAAAGGTTTTTAACGAGGCACCTCCCCATAATGGACAAGGGTGGTGGTCCCCCGGCCGAAGAGGAAGAACGTTGCAGATACAGTTTGGACTACTCCCTTTCGCCTCGAGTACTCTCGACTCAGGGAATGGAGGACTCCTGATGGATTATATGGACTCCGACCCCTCGGTATGCCGACTACTGGGCCTGGACAGCGGCCCACACACGTTTAGCAGATATCATTAATATTATTGTACATTATTATTATTATTCAGATGTTCTAAATTAGCTTTTTATACTATCAGTCCATTTATGTAACCGGGTCTGTCAGGCCCATATTAGAGGCCCAGACCCGGATTTTCCCTATATATACTCCTTATAGGAGACTTGTAACTCATATTACAAAGATTCATTCTATACCCATTTCCTTCTTCTTCATCATTCCTTCTCCTACATTCTTGTTCAATTTCTCTTAGTTATAGATTATGGGTATCAATTATCCAACAGTGTCAATGAAAGTGGGAAATAGTGACACTTTTTAAGTGTCACTATAAGTGTCACAAAATTGTGACACTATGATATCACTAGTTAGTGATACATAGGTGACATAACTATTCAGTGACACGTTTACATCACATATTCTAGTGACACTATCGTATCACCAGTTAGTGATACATAGGTGACATAACTATTCGGTGACACTTTCACATCACATATTCTATTGACACTACGGTATCACCAGTTAGTGATACATAGGTGACATAACTATTCGGTGACACTTTTACATCACATTTTCTTGTTACACCGTGGTATCATACTTTAGTGACACTTTGGTATCACTTTAGTTTGCATTATTTCAACATTCCATTTCATGGGTAATTTAGAAAATCCATTTCAATTATATTTAAAAAATTCCAATTCAATATTATCTAATCCCATAAACTATAAAGTCAATAAATCTCAAAAAATACATGGAACATTTAAAGCATAATATTCATGTCAAACTCCAAGATACATTGTTGTTGAACTTTGCCATTCTAGGTATGCTGGACAAAACATGACAAAAATTCCAGCAAGTTCCAACACAAAAGTGATCACTTTACCACTACATAGTTTTGTCCAAAAAGTGAGCATCCTACACATCGTACATACAACGCCAATAACAGTTCATAAGTACATATCGCCCAGCCAGCTTCACATCATCAAGTCTTCCTAGCAGCCTCGTTCATCAACACTGAAAAATGATCACTATGTTCATAAGTACATATCGCCCAACCAGACAACTAACATCACATTTTGTTTCAAGAGTTTGACATCTGACGCAACGTCTTTCATATATTTCATAACAAAATAACCACATTCCATTCCTCCTGCTTGCTTCGAGCACTGCATTTTTTAATTCAAAAGGGACCATCACTTCAAATTTAAAACAAAACTCACAATGGAATCCCAGGAAAAGATTTTGGCCAAGTTTAATCATTTTTCCTTCTTGTTATGACTTGTGGTTACAGATTCCTGGGGAAAATATTTAAGGTTTGGCCAAGTTTTTCCTTGATGTTGGGATCCCAGGAAATGGAAAGGATTGTATTTCCAGATTGATGCACTTTCCTACAAAGAAACCTCTAAGCATATACACAATAATTAAAGTTTAAACATAATAAACATGTTACATACTACTTAGTTTAATAATTAGTAAGTTAGGATAACTAGATTTACAATAATAATTAAAAGTTTAAAAGATTAATTACTGATTAGACAAATGAGATATGCAAAAAAGTTAAGAACTATTCACTCTAGTGCTGCCAAACAAGCTGATTTTCCTGCATATGGTTCACAAGCTGGCTGAGTTGATGTACACTATTAGACATTTTTTTTGCTAGACACTATTAGACATTCTTATTAGCTCCTTAGCCTTTTAACTTAATGATAGTAAGTGAATGGCTAGCAGTAAAAGACATTCTTTTACTAATCTTTTTATACATACCTGAACTGTGTAAGTTGCTTGACATTGAATTTATATAAGAGTCTTTATAAATACCTGAACTATGCAAGTTGCTTGACATTACTCTATGTGAAGGTTGCTTGACATTACTCTATGTGAAGGTTGCTTGACATTGAATTGATATAGGAGTCCTTATTTGATTTAGACAAAGTTTAACTTTAATTCAGGTTACCTGAATGAAAAGAGCTTATTTTGAACAAAGATTGATCCAATACAGAGAAAGATTGCAGTCCTCTGTATAAACATTGATCCTAGAAAATAAGTTAATAAGCCGTTATTTCCATAAAAAAAAGCCGTTATTTCCATAATGCAGAAAAATCCTATAAACAAATACAACCTGAATGCAGTTCATACATGCCATGCTCATAGTTACATAAATCGCTGGGGAGGTCACGATCTGCGAACCGAACGCTTCGTACCCAATCACGGTACGAAAGCGATCCGGTCGCCACCTGGAACGCCAAACGGAACGTACTTCCAGTTGATCCCAATCGCTTATCGAAACGATCTTAGTCGTTGTTCGAATCAATTTCAAAGGCTTTCAAACACGAACGATAACGAATCTCAGGTCATTCTTCCCTAGCGAACTCGTTTGTAAAGGTCGTTTCCTCAAGCGAATCGTCGTTTGACAAAGAACGCGCATATTTGAAATACCGTAGTATTTGTACAGGTCGGCAGCTCGGCGCTTCGTTTTCTGGATTATTAATGTTTTTAAACCAGGCTCTTCATTTGTACTAAGAGGCTCTACTAATTTGTACTAATAGGCATACAGAATTTCAAACCAGCTCTTCGTTTTTTGGAATATTAATGTTTTTTTATTCTGGAAAATTAATGCTTTTTTATTTTGTTTATTGTTATGACTTATGCTTATTAATTCTGTTTTTTGTTTAATGTTATGACTTAATACTTATGAATCTGTAATTCAGTTTTATTATAGTACCAAAATATAAGGTACACCGTACCGAATATGTGGTACACCGTACCGAATGCGTACCGGAATGAACCTACCCCCCTCCGAACCGGATACGCTAGACCTAGCGAACCGCGTTCTCGATCCTCGTTCCCATACCGAATCGTTCCTCGAATTATGTGACTATGGCCATGCCATCAAGAAATAAAAGTGATAATTACTGAATAATTTATCAATTAATTAGTTACCACATGCCTTTATTTTAAATCCTGCCTTGGCACTGGTTTCATTAAACAAGACACCACACTCCTGAGCCTTGTGATCTCCTTCTATCAAAACTTGCCTGTTAAATTGCAGTATCATCATGGGGGGGGATCAAATAAATACAGTAATGATATGAAAAGCAATTGGGATTACAAACCACAATATCTTTCATTTCCGGTTCATTTGTAAGATACTTCTTCTCATTGATATAGTTTTTTGACATTCTTCCATATGCAGCTTAAGTTTTAAAATATAGTATATGACTATATGCAAATGCAAATGATTGAATGCAGAGTTCTACAAACCAATTGCATTAATGATTCAAAATCTCAAGTGCAAGTTAGATTTGCCACCTGAAATATAAAATCTGTATTTATTGCAGGTGAAGATCACTTCTCACATGGACACCATATTCAGCCTTTATCAGTGAGTTTTCTTCTTTAGTTCAAGAGATTAACATTTCTCCCTAAACTATTCATGCTTAGCATGATCTAAAACTGCACAAGATTATTACGATTTACGAGTGTGGATTATTATATTGTTCTTCAGCTGCATAAAAATGTGTCAACACTGTTTTTTGCGGCATGAAGAACTCCTCACGAAATTAATTAAGAAAGAAACACACAGTAAGAATAGGAAAGAAACTAACCAACTAGAATTTTGAGTTGCAACCTGAAACAGGGACACGGTAAAAGAGTTAGAAAAACATCTTAAGGTATTTTCAAATAATTTATCTGGACTGCTGGAAAACATCTTAAAGGTGATTAGTAATTATCGAATAAGGTAAATTTACTCAAATTAAGATACCTTTGGTTTCCTGGAATTATACTAACATAAATGATAAAATAAGTATTACTTATTATATTACAAAGCTTTTTTGTAGCAGAAAACTAGGAATAAGACAACTGTATAAGAAATCGCATTTCAAAAGTTGCTACCTTTTAGTTTTAGTAGGTATAAATATAATTGAAAATAATCAATGGGAGTTCTATATCTAAATTTATTTGTTGGTTTAACTTAATTTACCATACTTTAATAACTGGTTGTTGACATTATTGGAATGCTACTCTAACCCATCTGAAATACTACCACAAGGACACTTCTTTTGCAAGTATACTCTATATCTTCTTCTTGAACTGAGATAAGGATTTCAACCATTTTACTATCTTTTATTCATAAACATAATCATAGGTTAAAGTTGAAACATTTTTCATGAGTTCATGGTCAAGCAAATGCAACTGCACAAATCTTCAACTCTTTGGAAGAAACACAGTAAGTCTACAAATTTGAAAAGCTTACAGCTTTCAATAATCCATTCAGGACTTTTACCAAACACTAAACATGCACAATTTCATTGAAATACTAAGACAGTGTATTTGTGTGGTTCCCCAAGAATTTGTACGTAAGCTTAAATGTTTAATCATTTACTATCAATTGCTAACAATCTAACACATACAGAAACACCTTTCGAACTGTAAATCAAACATCCAAAATTTCAATGTTTAGAAAAAACAGAGAAGCTATAAAGATATATTCCTGTGACAGGTTTGAGAAGAAGGGTACCTACGCTGGAAACCGAAAGAGAAGCAGTGACGGCCTTGAGAAGATTCAGATGAACTGCGGCGCTAAAAGGAAAAAGAGAAGCTGGCGTATAACTTGTGAAGTTGAAGCGGCAACTGATTTTTTTACCTGGGATCGTAAAATAACCCGCTGCGCCGACTAGCCTATTTCGCCGATTTGGACGATTTGGCAGAGTAGGCGGTCTGGCGGCCTATTAGTTGGAATTCCGATTAACAAGCCCGACTATGTGCTCTTCGCCTCACTATGTGCTCTAACGGCCTAATCCGACTTTTAGGTCATTGATAGCAGCCATCGCGCGACGAGGATGAAGATGTTTGACCGTTGACGGGTGGTTGTGTCGTTCTTCGTAGAGGATCGACGATGGAGGCACTCGATCTCAACAATCGCCGCAAGGAAGGCTGAAATTTCTTCCCTCGCTGCAAGTCTCGCACTCAGCTCGATTGTTCTTCACTCAGTTAGGGTTCATCGCTCAGTATTTCTCACTTAGGCTCACTTAGGCTGAAATTTCTAATTAGGAATGTAAGGGTTTGTAGGAGTAGTGCGGGCGTATGTAGGTGAATGTGTTTTTTTAGAAAAGTGCTTGACTGTTGGAAAAGAAAAAAGCTAAGGGCCGGCCAATTAAGTGTCTAATGAGGAGCTAAGGAGCGCGCGTTTACTCCGTAAAAAAGTGTCATTAATCAACACTCATATTTTTTTTGGGAAAACAGTGACACTTTGATGTTAGTAATGTCGTTTTATCAGAAAGTGTCACTAAAATAGTGTCACTGTAGGGCATTTTTCTAGTAGTGTAGACCGGATTTTGAGGTGTTACAAACACCTTTATAGAATCAAGAGCTAACTGTTAAAGTACTTTCAAATTGGATTATATCATCACGTTAAAACTTTTTTCACATTTAATACTAAAATGTAATTAATTTCAATAAATTGATAATTTAACTAACAAAAAAATAGTAAGGGACGTGAAGGCACTCAAATGAACAAATTATAAGATTTGAATTATTTGATTGAATAGCTAAATTGATGGCCGGAGACAAATTGATATGCAGTAATTCAATTGGCATGCAATAACTCATTTGACATGTGAAACATTCAAATAAATGAAGTAATAGTGAAAATTGAATAGCAAGACAACTCATGGTATGAGAAGTTGATTGTCATGCGTATTATTAAGTTAGGATAGGACAAATGTTTCTCTCAAGGAAAATTATTGGTCTTACGCATGGGGACCTTATTTGGCTTTAAATAGGAAATTAGCTCCTCTTTATTTTCATACGAGAAGGCCACAAAAGAAACCCATTAAAGAAATAGCTGCAAGGAAACCCAAATATTTTTATCTCTCTCTAGGGTTGGCTCTTTCTCGCCCGCCTCTTAGAGTAGTATAGGTTTTCCTTGTTTTTTGGTTCAGGCGAGGAACGGTGGGTAGGGTGCGGTCGTCGGTGGGTATTCGTGCTTCGGTGAGTCTTCGTGTTGCGGCCGGGGACTTGCTTCGGCTTTTGAGCCGATCGTTTGCCTTCGCTGATTTTTTTATGGAAGATTTCGTGGGGCGATACAAGAAGATGGCATCGGAAAGGACATTGAACTGAATTTTAATGCCGAGGTTGACGAAGACCTTGACGCAACCGAGAAGAGGGCTGAATTTCCGGTGGTGGGAGTCGTTATCACGGATCGTCCCCCTCCTGAACCGCCGCCGTGGAGTGCAGGAGAGTCTAGGGTTTGGAAGCATCTTTTTAATTTTACTGTTTGCTTGCGATTTATTTTTTGTGATCAGACTGTTTATTATTTTTCTGTTGATTACTTTTATTATTGTAAGACTTTTGCATTAGGAATGGGTGATGAGAGTTCTGCAGTGACCGTCATTGGCTCAATTATGCCCAATTTAACTCTGAGTCTGGCCCAATGGCGGATGATTACTTGTGGTTCTTTTGTTATTTTAATCCCTCTCTGAATGCTATGATTTTAATCTAAGCTATCTTCTTCCAAAAAAAACAGCTGCAAGAAGAAGAATAGTAGCTCAATAGGACGTTCTCATATCAACAATTTTTGTTTTTGAGAATTTGTCTACAAGGTCAGTACTTCTGACCCAATTTTATTTAATGTATAGGTTAATATTATTATGTAAGTATAACTTCCGTCCCCGTTCATATGTTATGGGGATGATGAACATTATTTAGCCTTAAAAATATTTGTATGCTTTAATTATGTGTTCATGATTTATAAGAGCTAATTACAGTATACATCGCATGTAAATGAAAATAAAATGAAAAAGTTCAATTGACAGAACTAAAGTTTGGCTGCTTGTACATATCGGAAAAATAATAAAATGAACCATTGACTGACCGACTAAGTTAGTTCACGAATTCCATATTTCCATTATTATATGAAACATAAATCAGTAAAATTAATCCTTGTGAGGGTTATGCACATATAAATACTTAAATATAGCTATTAGCTAGTCATTTCATATTTTTTGAAAATAAAGTAATTCATATTATATGTATAATGTATCCCCATAAACGTAGTACATGCATGTGTATAAGGCCGGGTATCATTTGTCAACGTAACATACTTACATAAAAGTATATTAACATATAGAGGTAGCTAATTAAGTGTTATAGATTTTAGTTAATTTACGTACACACTTATATGACCATTTACTTTAATATTCTTTATTTATGTAATTTAGTTTTGAAAGTCGCATGTAATTAGTTAAGTTTATATGTATAATAATATATATAAGTGCACGTATAACTAGTTTCAAGGTGTAGCGGCTGTAGCCTAAAAAAATTAATGTAACTAATCTATTTATCAAAAGTTATTGTTCATGGAATTTATTAGGAGTAACAGTAACCGACAGAGCTAAAGATATGTAGTGCATATTTGGCCGACATAAGTGTCTACCTTCTAGCTTTTGTACTGTTTAAAAAGTCTCTAAAAACTTCTAGTTGTATGTTTGGCATGACAATTTTTATGAGTTTTTCAAAAATTAAAAGATCTTTTTTGAGATGCTACAGGGACTAGCATCTGAGAAAAGTCTGTGACTTTCAGTATTAATTAGTCCTAACAGCTTGTATACCAAACCGAACTAAATCAAACAGTTAGCTTTTTACCAAACAGTTATCACCTTTTCTTTTTAAGATCTTTTCAGTCACTAAAAACTACTCCCTCCGTATCTATTTACTTGACCCACTTTCCCTTTTGGGACGTATCAAAATAAATGTCTCATTCCCTTTTTGTCAATTAAATAGATACGGAGGGAGTAACAGTTAATAAAAAGCTCACAAAAGTATCTTTTCAACTAGTTGTGTGCCAAACACACCCGTAGACATACATGCGTAGTGTAATAATAATAATACGTGTAAGGGGGTGTTTGGATCTGATTCTTAAAACTGCTTCTGCTCTTTCAGGGAGTAGAAGTAGAAGCTGGAGTGTTTGGATGAAAGTGCTAAAGTGATTCTGGTGCTCTAATTTACTCCTAGAATCAATTTTTTTAGAAGCTGGGGAGACCAGCTTATGAAAACTGATTCTGATTCTGATTTAAAAAAGAAGCAGAAAAGAAGCAGAATCAGAATCAGTTCCAAACACCCCTAATACTTATATTCACTTCAAGAATTAACTAGTTCGGCTAAGTTTACACGTAGCTTGGTACTGTACATATGAAACTTTGTGTATACAATTATGGTCTAAAGTTAGCATACCAATTAAGCTTGTATAGTTTCTAAGTACTTCCTCCGTTCTTAAATAAATGCAACGGTCAACATTTCACACTTGCCGAGATACAACTTTGACCATCAATATATATAACTTTGTATTAGTAAAAAAATTATAAAAAATAGATTTTGAAAATTTACAATGATACAAATTTAATAATATTTTTTTCATAAAAAAATATTAATACATTATTAAATAAAACGTAGTCAAAGTAAAGCATGTGAATAATGTAAATTTTCATATGTTGCATTTATTTAAGAACGGGGTAGTATTACTTCTTACTTCTTACGTAAGTGAAAAAGTAATTAATGAATTGATTGTATAAGTTTAGCAATGACCTAACGTAATGATTATCATGTAAGAACGTTGTAACTAAAGTAATTATCATATAAGTTTAGCAATGATCTAAAGTAATGATTATCATGATAACCTAAAGTTATCATGATTATCATCTAAGTTTTCGATATTTACAACTGTGATAAATATTTAAAGATACAATAAAATAAGATTTTTTTGGCTAAAAAATAAAATAAGTGTTTGATGCACTAAATAATAGTAAGTAAATCGAATATATGCACTAGAAAGCCTAGTTATTTTATTTAAAAGAAAAATCTTCAATATGAAGAAAAAGAAGCCACATTTTACATGACATTATTCTTTCTTACCTCACTATCAGTTCCATATGGGAAAAAGTAGAAGACTGGGAATGAATTTGTATTACATATTCACAAAGTCGAAACTCAGTTATATTTGGATTCCGTCAAAATTTGCAGCACCTCTAAGTGGTATTCTTGATGGTACATTGTCAGAGGATTCAGTCCAAACAAATTAAATAACTCTGCCTGTTAGGGAAACTCGTTGATGGGGTTATTTACTTCTTGTTCCCGAGAAGAGGCTCATCGAGATGTCCTCTTCTCGAACCAGAAATATCGTCATTGGACTTTTTGGGAGTCTGTCCTTGTCTACTTTGGCCTCCCTGTGCAATTCAAAAGGAATCAAACAAACCGACCCCACAAAAAGCAATGGAAGACTTAACACTTGCACTGATAGGAGCAGCTATTCCAGTTAAGCAACACAAAATGCTAATGGTCAAACACAATCAAATGATACATTGAGACACAGTTTATTTTGGTTAACGAAGAAATAAAGAGAAATGGATTAGAAAGACTCTTTAGTCATGTATAGTGGCGTAGTCAGTACTCAGAACCCAAATTTTTGAATTTGCGGTGGGCCTGGAAAAAAATCATTATTTTACACAACAGAAAAATTACACAAGGTAATGTTTCCCCCCTAGCGCCCCTGGTCATGTTGTCTTTCAAAGTCATTTACTTCTATGCAATATATAACTGTCAAGGTCTTGAGGTTTTTGATAGTGTAGTGTGAAACACAGATAGGCAATTTATGATATAAAATGATGTGGAATGGATAAGTGTTTGATAAAGTAGTTTTTTGAGTTTTTTATAGAATAAATATAGCACTTGTGATTTTGTGGTTTGTAAGTTACTTTATAGCCTTAGTTGTGAAGCCTATAAAGAAAATTAAGTAAAAAGGCTCACTAAACTGTCTGCGCATCATTTGTTATGAAGCAGCAGTCAGTACATGCAATTTTTGACGTGATTTTCACTAGGGGTCTCCAGAAACAGTCTCTATGTGCTATGATACAGGGGTAAGGCTGTGTACACGGTACATCCGACCTCCCTTACCCCACTGTAGGTGGAAGCCTTTGCGGCACTAGGGTAATGATGATGATGAGCCTTGGTGTTCAAGCCACAACACTTCTTCATTTTGACACAAAGCCACAATAATCCCAAACTAGGCTTATAACTCTAATATATGCACTTACAGCTGCCTTTTGGGCTGTAAGCCTCCTAATTGATGGAGCACGTGCCATTGATGAAGCAGCTGCGGCTGCCGCCACACGTATCCTGCATCATCATCAAATAAAATTTACATTTTTGGACTGAAAGGACAATTCATTAGTACAGAATATTTTTTTCCCTTTCAATCCGAAAAGCTAAACCAAAGTTACAAGTATTGAACACCTTTTGTGTACATCAACAAACTCATCTGTCTCATCCACAATTTCTTCCTGCATCAATTTAAAACTTTACAAAACATATACACCTCTAACCACAAAAATGAAACAGATATAGGTTCTATTTGTTTCCACTAAAATAAATTGCAAAATAGATTTTCAAGAGTAAAATGCTTTCATGGAAAATAAGTGGTTGTCCATGTTTCACCAACAAAAATAGAAAACATAAAAATGTTTCAGGAAAATGACTTGTTTTCAAAATGGAAAATGATTTCTGGGAAACAAATGGAGCCTTTAGTTTAAATACACCAAAGCCAACCTGCAAAAGCTCTTCAAACACATCTTCCAGGGTGATGATGCCAATTACTTCACCGTCCTCAAGATCCTCTGATGGCTGAGGCAGGCCATTTGTTTCAATATCAACCACCACACTATCTGACTTTTTCTGATCCTTCTTTGGGAGCAAAAGAGTACTTAACTGAGAGTTACCCCCATTAGTGTTTGCAGTCTCTTCAGATTGCTCATTTTCTACTAAGTTTTTCTTTTTACTTTTTCCCTTCACCGTAACTACAGCAGCCATGTGGCTGCTACCTTTCTGGAACTCATTCAATATGTCATAGAGGGGCATATCTGATGGGACTCTGAACATATTATGCATATAATAGTATTACCATGACTTTTCCATAGATCCATAAAACCAAGTAAAGACTACACACATACCGAGGAATTCTCCGGATAGAAACAGCACTAACTGGGGTCTCGGTTTCAGCCCTAACAGTAAGAAGGCTCTTGACCTATCATTGTGAAGATAAATGTCAAATAGTACCCTAACTCACCCAAAAGGATCCTCAAGAGTTGAGATTTCCCAAACACTTATGTATTAACCTCAAACCTAGCAGTCAATTGACATGTGATACTTAACACAACCATTCAACCCAATCCAGGATAGGCGACAGAAGGGAAAACAAATTAACCCAAATCGACCCCTAAACGGGCAGCCCAAACATCAAGTGAGACATCAAGTGAGTGGGATTCCACAAACCATTATGGGCCTTTCATAGCATGTAGGTCTAAATCACTCCAAAAGAATCCTCAGGAGATGATGTTTACCTCACACTTATGTATTCGACTTAGACCAATAGGCTCTGAGTATTAAGAACTAACCAGCAGAAGCCCAATAATATTCTTTGGATTGCCAGAGTAAACAGGGACTCGACTGTGACCTCGAGCAAGAATTTTCCCCATTGCTTCCCTAACATGGGAGAAAGACAAGAAAATAAACAAAAAGATTCATCAAGACATCAACCTTCCTGTTGTGCATTAGTAGGAGACGTTCTTTCTTTAGAATAAATGGATACTGCATAGGACAAAACAGAAGACTGTTTCCTGACTGAAATACTGAACTTAGTGAAGTTCCAAACTTCATTTTGAAGTCCACCTAATAAAAGAGTATTATAAATGTAGTTTTTTGCATATATAGTTAAACATAAAAGAACCCTGCAAACTTGCATTTACCGATGCTTACCAGTCTAGTTTTGAATTGACATCCAGTGAAAATGTTGACTCAATAGGTGTCATGGCCTCCTCAGCAGTCTGTTCCGAAGAATTAGGAAACGAAAATAAATGAAATACATTAAACTAATATACCTAATTATGACAGACTAGTTTGGTTATGCATGCACACACGGGCGCGCATTTGAGACACACACACACACACAGAGTTGTTGATTCAAGCCTGGATGCTTAAGATAGCTGTATGAATGTGATTTAAAATATTATCATTTTCTCAGCTTGGATCTGAACAAGTTCTGCAGGAGTTTGGAGAACACCCCATCCCCCTTCCTTTTGCTCAAGGCTCCAATTCATTTTTTCATGGAAAAGTTGAGATGATACATTATTATATACTCCCTCCGTCCCATTTATATTGTCCCGTTTTACCTTTTCGGGAAGTCCCACTTAAATTGTCCCATACCATATTTGGCAAAGTTTGTGTGGCTCTAAATCATTCTTACTTTATCAATTAATATCAACCACACAAACCCACTTTTCTTAATAACCGTGCCACCCTCTTCCGGGACAATATAAATGGGACGGGGGTAGTAATATAATACATAAACAAGAGTTCTGTCAAAGTCAAAAGCTATAAAAGACAAAAGGAGATGAAGGATCTTAGATAAGATGATGACATGCATGATTGCCTTATTCCAAAGGGAGGGAAATATATAAGCAAAATAAAAACATAGTGCAACACATTTACATGTCAATGAACAAGAGAGAGCTAAAGAATATGTAAGTAAGTTGCAAAGTGTTTATGTAGAGGGAAATTTCCCGAAAGAGGAGTAAAAACAATGTGTAATTCTAAAATAGGAGTACTATGTTTTTCCCCGAAATAGGAATAAGTTACTGGCATCTTGAAATCGTACTATCATGTTTTGGCATTACTAGGCATTAATATGGCAGTATTAATATCATAATTGGCATTATTTTTGAAACATGGCAGTAATTACTCCTATTTAGGGGAGATATAGCACTACTATTTTAGAACTTCACATTGTTATTACTCCTATTTATAGCTATTTCTTTTATATAAACTAATCTTGATTAGAAAGTGTTATACGAATTTACATTCAGCAAAAGTAAACTGAAGCTTTGAAGGCTAGTTTGCGACTTGCAGGTAGTTGCGACTATTGAAGTGCCAGAAGTTTACACAGTACCTTCTCAGTCAAATCGAGTGCTCCACTAATTATTGTTGTCTCATCATGTGTGAGTTCACCCCCTTTTCCAGCCTGCAGATGGAAGCAATTAACATTCAAGAAGCATAAACACAGTGACCACTTCAAAGTGGATTTCACAAACTATGCTCAGAATAAAACCTCTTGACTGTGTCAGCACCTAGAAGACATTAGTGCTCAAAGGGTAAAATCAGCTGATAATATATCATTTGTTTGAAAATAAAAAATAATGACACAGACCTCTTTACTGTGGATAGAAACCAGGGCCTTCAACTGAGCTCGTCTGAACAAAGCCTCGTTATGTCCTAATACCCAGTCTAGGATCTGGACCATAAGCCATAAATTAAATCAGAATTACTGAATTACTAAAAAATAGCAACCCGGTGCACATTGGCATCCCCGCAAAGTGAGGTCCGGGAAGGGTCCCACCACAACGGTGTATAGGAGGCAAGCCTTCCCTTGTCATTTTGGCAAGAGGCTGCTCCCAAGGATTGAACCCGTGACCTCGGTCACACAACAACACCTTGACGGCTCAATACTATACAAGTTTAAGACGGAGTATATATCAATTGGCAGACGACCGAAATGAGGCCAAATAGCAACTCCATGGATGCTATAAACTGCCAGACTGTCATTCTTAACAAATTTCCTATGGCAGCTGGCAAAAATGCCACACCATTCCTCCACGCTGTCATTTAACAAAAATGGACTTGTACAGTTGCACCTCTTTTTTAGAGATAAAAGTTGTTACGCTTATATACGTACATGTCTTATACAAGGTACCCTAATAGTGGGTTAAAACAAGCTGCAAAATGCAATTCTGAGGTTGTAAGGCCAGGTGCTCCAAACCTTGTATGATGTGAAACCATGGGACATTAAAATTGTAGAATAGCTATGTGCTAAACCATGGGACATTACAATTGTAGAATAGCTATGTGCCTATGTCCAAAACTAATTAGGTGGTATGTGAAAGTTTGAGTCCTTGTGTACTTCACATGTTGATGAAGTCTTTTGGAATACGCTAGGTGTGCCTAGGTGTGTGTGTGTGTGTCTTTGGTGAGGATGTGTAACATGTGGGGTTAGGCATGTAAAATATGAAATATAGTCAAGTTATTCAAAATGGTATCCTATGCTTCATGCTTGTTACAGATGTATTCACTCCTAGGTCTGCTCAGGAACTTCAGTGTGAACACTAGATGACTAATCATTTCCTGAGCAGTGACATTGAGTTTGACAAGTCTTACCAACCACATACTCATTGTACATGACTACATGTTTAAAAAAAAAAGACTACATGTTTATTATACGAAACACACACTGTCACACTTACACGCACACCTACAACTGGTGTAGCCCAAAATATTATGTGGTTTTTATGCAGGAAATATCTCATAAAAACACACTTTATGACCTCGGCACTTTCCCTGGAGTGGTGACATTAACAAAAAAAAGTGCACACGAATATTTGTCATGAATGTCAAGGGTTCCTTTGTGTATATTATAATAATGAAAGGAAGCTTTCCTTCCAGTGCAGAAGAAGGCATTCTCCTTATGAGACAACATGAATGGAATACAGAAACCTCCGAAATTTCTTAGGAACGTTTTGAAGGGCGAGTAAAATGCAGTTTGTCTCAACAAGATGACGGTTCTTCTATGTAGTTGCTTGAACATAAGTTAATGTTTGTGGAGCTTTACTGATAAATCAATTTCACATACAGGTAAAATTACCTTTCCAATAGGATAGGAAATCGGGTAACAAATGATCATTAGCACACGAACAAGCCAGACAAAATTTGCACCTACAGCAAGTCCATACCTGGTGCAAATTGCTTGAGGAATAACCTGTCAGCAAAGAAAGATAGAAGGGTTGAATTATAAGCATGTCTCAGATATAAATTCCTCAGATATTTAAGTATAGTTTCCGCATTGAACTTACCTCTCCAAATGCTAATACAAAAGTTACAGACAGCACAATAGCAAGATATTGGTTGAAAATTTTGTCCAAATATATAGGAAGGGCCTGTAAATGACAAAGATTTGGAAAAAAGAAAATTATCATCTATGAAAGCATAACCTTGCATAGTTATTGATGAAAAAAATTAAATAAGCATCCGCTCAACTGAATGTTGATTGTTGAGAATGGCATAGTTGCCAGATGCTAAATAACCCTATAAGCATTTGGCCATGGCTTTATGCCCCAGAAATAATCTCTTAATACATGTAAGGGTCGTTACATTTTTTAAAAATTTTTAATTTTTTTTGATTTATTTGGTCTAACCTTTGTTACCATTGTACATATAGTCTCAGTTTCTCACATGGTCAAACTTAACATGCTCAGAATAGAAAGAGAACTAATTTATAACCAACAATGGAATTTCGAGGGAACGGAACAATACTTATTCACAAGTAACTTAAAGAGAGGAGTGGTGTGAGTGGGGCAAAGAATTATACAGCACAAGTCCATACTATTTAGGAAAGAAACGTAGTGCACAGAACTTTTTATTGAGTAAGTCTTATATTTCTAAAGCAAATTACTAAGCTTTCCTATTTTTCTTAACTATATTAGCAATTTAACTGTCCACATTCAACAATCTGCAGTTCTACCACAAAAGTTGACCAGTATACTAAAACCCTTTATATCATCCTATGTTCCTGTAGGTCATGTTTGATCTGATAGTTCAACAGGGATAATGTGGAATGAAGGCTAGATTTGCAATGCAATGATAAAGTTTTGAATGATGTATCATGTATAGTAGTATCGTACATTTTTTCCCCATTTTCAGCTTATAATCAGTGGTTATAATTAAGAATATTAAGAAACCGTGCATACAAAGTTAACATTCATTCAGTATCAGTTGTAAACTTGTAATCTATTTGATTGTGCCTCACACACCCCTATAAGCATACTCAAGCGGTGATGTTTATCTCGCACTAATATATAAGATATAAATTTAGTGAGGTTCTTCCTCACTAAATACTCTTAACATGAGACATGAGACGCTTAACATACTCTTACTATTTTCCAGTATTTCTTTCCTACCTCCCCAATCTACTTTATGTTCTAAAATTTGTCATACACTCATTGCATTACCAAATTTATGGAAGAAACTAGTAAATATATTCCGGGAAAGCGGCCATTTCAGTTGGTACCTCCATTGCAACAGCATTACATAAAAGCAAGGTCACAAGAAGCTGATGTTGCTTCTGAACAACTGGGAATATTGCAGCTGAAAATAAACACCATTCGAAATACAGTAAAAATAAGAGTTAAGGAGAAACTTCCAAAGTTAAAAAACCAAACAAATTAAACCGGCTACTGACAAAATCATGAAATGTATAATACATTGGCAAAAGAAAAGTTTTTTACAGCTTACAAATCCCGATAAAGTTGAACATAATTTACCCCGCCTATATTCCCTCTTATCAGATGATTCTATTGTCTCTATCTCGGTGTTTAAGTGTTTAACCCCCTTCTGGAGGAAGAACCTTGCCATTTTGTTTGTGTATTACACTATACAGTCCCATTTCATTTGAGCTGGTTTGTGCTTTCAGTGAGAAAATCACAGTCTGAAGCACAGTTGTGTCATACCTGTAGGTATCTTCCACCTTCTTTCTTGGAAGTTGCCAAGAGACATATAACACCTTCTAGGAAGGTGCTATCAAACACATGAACATGGAAGGAGATATGGAGATACTTTGGAAGCTTGGATGCAACTTCCTCTTGTCTCCAAACTAGTCCTATAAATAGAGTGCTCCATTGTTGTTCATTGTATCAGTTTAGAAAGTGAGAAAAGTGTGTGAAGAGTGAAAATACACTTAGAGTAGAAGTGTATTGGTGAGGATTGGTTTTTTGTAATAGTTGAGTGTGAGAGTTTGCTCCTCCTATTGTAATTCTGTTCTTGATTTTGAATAGAAGAATTTTCAATCTCAACAAGTGGTATCAGAGCGAGGTTGAGTTTCCATACACTGTTTTCTCATTTTCAGATAAATTTCTACGGGTTAGAAAATCGTGATTTTTCAAGTTGCTCGGAATCACGATCTGATCATACCGTTAGATTCGTCTCGTCGAGACGAGAAATCTGGTATTTTTTGGGAATTTTTTGGCCACCGGAAGAGGCCGTACGCGCCGCTCAAACGCGCCGGAAAACTGCCTGCGTCATCATTGCGTCATCAGGCAGTCTAAAGGAAGAAGACGAGCCACGTCAGCCGCCACGTCAGCCGCCACGTCAGCGCCACGTCAGTCCACGTCATCCGCCACGTTAGTCGTGCAAACCATCCTCTAGGTGCTACGTCAGCGCCACGTCAACGCCAGCTGTGTCCACATCACCAACCTGGGTGTTAGCACACTGGGCTGCTGCCTGAACCGGACCGAACCGGTTCGTACTTGTGGAGGCCGGTTCACCCATTTTCAGACCGGTTTTGGACGAGGTCAGACCGGTTCCTACCATTTTCGGCCATTCCGGATCCAACGGTGAGCTCCGTTTGTCCAAATTCGGCTCCGAAAATAAGGTACGAGATATTTTGAGCATTTTATTATGGATAAATCATCATCGGACACCATGATTGCGCTCACTTCCACAAATTACAATATGTGGAAGCCTCGGATGGAGGATTTGCTAAATTTGAGGGATTTAGCCGATCCTCTTGATAATAATGGCGTGAAACCGGATAAAAAGACGGATGAAGAATGGACAAAAATGAATAGAAAAACTGTCGCACAAATTCGACAGTGGATAGATCATAGTGTGTTCCACCATGTTGCGCAAGAACAAAGTGCTTACACACTATGGGAGAAGCTTGGTAGCATGTATCAAGCAAAAACCGCCCGAAATAAGACGTTACTAATGAGGAGATTAGTAAACCACAAGTTACGAGGAGGTATTTCGGTGTCAGAACACACCAGTCAATTCCAGGATCTTGTGAATCAGTTGAGCACCACAGGATGGGTTCTCAAAGATGAAGAGCAGGCGATACTACTCTTGAGCTCTCTACCTGACAGCTGGGAGACTCTTGTTGTCACTCTCAGCAATTCTGCTCCCAATGGCAAAGTGACTATGCAGATGGTCACAGATGCCCTTATGAACGAAGAAGCCCGAAGAAAAGAAGCCGGGACTGAACAATCATATGCCTTCGTGTCAGAAACCAGCACACGAGGGGGAGGCAGAAATGGAGGAAGAAGTAGAGGTCGAGGTAGAGGCCAAGGTCAAAACAGAGGAAATTCTCAAGTTCGCGGCCGATCACAAGAACGAGGTATGTCCTGTGAAAACAATACTTGGTTTGAAGGATATTGCAACTATTGTGGTAACTATGGGCATAGAAAAAGAGATTGTAGAAAGTTTCTACGAGAGCAGCCACAGACGAGTCAAAATACTAGCCAAGAAGACGGTGAGACCATGGTTAGTTTGTCATCAGACGTGTGTCTTGTTACACATGGTGAACAAGAATGTTTACACGTAGGTACTCATGATGTTGAGTGGGTGATTGATACAGCCGCATCATTTCACGCCACTCCACACCAGAATTTATTCACATCTTATAAGTCCGGGGACTTTGGAGCTGTGAAGATGGGAAACACCAGTTTCTCGAAGATTGTTGGCATTGGTGATGTGCACATAACAACCAATGTCGGATGTGCACTTGTTTTAAAAGATGTTCGACACGTTCCGGATCTTAGATTGAATCTTATCTCCGGTACAGCTCTGGATCAACAAGGATATCTTAACAGATTCAAACAAGGTACGTGGAAGTTATCTAAAGGTTCCTTGGTTGTTGCAAGAGGCCATATTTGTGGTACTCTGTATAAAACTCATGCAAAGTTGTGTCATCCGAGTCTCAATGCTGTTGAAGAAGAGATATCACCAAACTTGTGGCACCGGAGGTTAGGCCACTTAAGCGTGAAGGGATTGACAACTCTTGCTAGGAAGGAAAGGATTTCCATGGGCAAAGGTGTTGCCTTAGATCCATGCGAGCACTGTCTATTCGGGAAAAAACACAGGGTTTCATTCAGTTCTACCAGGAAGAACCATTCAGAGGTACTCAGTCTTATACACTCTGATGTATGCGGACCCATTGAAGAGGAGTCACTTGGAGGAAGCAGATATTTCGTGACATTCATTGATGATGCATCACGAAAGGTATGGGCTTATTGTTTGAAGAGTAAGGATCAAGTGTTTGATCGCTTCAGATTATTTCATGCCATGGTAGAAACAGAAACAGGGAAGAAGCTGAAGTGTCTACGTTCAGACAATGGAGGAGAGTACACTTCCCGAGAGTTCTCATCATATTGCGCCGCATATGGAATCAGACATGAGAAGACGGTTCCACGAACTCCGCAACACAATGGTGTAGCCGAAAGAATGAATCGGACCATTATGGAGAAAGTTCGTTGCATGCTGAGTATGGCTAAACTATCTAAGCCATTCTGGGGTGAAGCTGTGATGACAACTTGTTATCTTATAAACAGGTCACCTTCTGTTCCTTTAAACTTTGAAGTGCCAGAGAAGAAATGGTCAGGAAGAGATGTTTCTTACTCTCACTTGAAAGTGTTCGGGTGCAAGGCATTTGCACATGTGTCCAAGGAGTTGAGAGAGAAGCTTGATCTCAATTCAAACCCATGCATCTTCATCGGGTATGGTGATGAAGAATTGGGATACCGGTTGTGGGATCCCGAAGTGAAGAAAGTTGTACGAAGCAGAGATGTTGTATTTCATGAAAACGAGTTTCATGGGTGTGTTCCAATAATCCGCCAACAACATACTCCTGAAGACGAAGTGCCTGTATCATCAAACATTCCTCTCAGCGACGAGGAGATGCATGATACTACTGAACAAGAGAGTGATGGTTCAGTAGGTGATGATGATACTCACAGTGATGATATTCCTCAGCAGGGGGAGCCTTCATCTGAAGACGAAGCTGAAGGTACTCATGTTCGACGTTCTACGCGAGGCATAGTTCCACCGAGAAAGTATTCCACATCCGAATGGATACTTGTTAGCGAGGGGGAGCCTGCGAGCATTGCAGGAATGAGAGAAATAAAGAAAAAGGTGGAGGGGGAGATTTGTAGGTATCTTCCACCTTCTTTCTTGGAAGTTGCCAAGAGACATATAACACCTTCTAGGAAGGTGCTATCAAACACATGAACATGGAAGGAGATATGGAGATACTTTGGAAGCTTGGATGCAACTTCCTCTTGTCTCCAAACTAGTCCTATAAATAGAGTGCTCCATTGTTGTTCATTGTATCAGTTTAGAAAGTGAGAAAAGTGTGTGAAGAGTGAAAATACACTTAGAGTAGAAGTGTATTGGTGAGGATTGGTTTTTTGTAATAGTTGAGTGTGAGAGTTTGCTCCTCCTATTGTAATTCTGTTCTTGATTTTGAATAGAAGAATTTTCAATCCCAACAATACCAATTTGTCTGCAGTCATATCAGAGACTGGATGAATGAATGAAACTGCTGATCCATACCCATAAATCAACACAAGTAAAACCCAAGAAAAGATTTTGAATTGACAATTTTACTGGCATAGCATGAACACCCATAAATTCATGTCACTTATATTATACGAGGTAGTAATTTTTCCCCAAAAAAGGGTGAACCTGCTTGTTTCTTCTCGGTGGGAGTTCCACTGCGCTGGAGGATCTCGAGCTCCACGATGCCCAATGACATGAGGCCTAGGGTGAGGCCCGACATGATTCCGGCGAAGAGGACTAGGAAGCAAGAGATCCCGGCATAGACATACCACGTAACGGTGCCAAATGCTATCTCTGTCCCTGTCGTCATCTCCCTTGAGGCCATTCGGACCAAAGCCAGAGCATTGATTAGATGCATAATTTTGTCTTTTCACCAACCCCTGCTCTCCTCTTCCTCTTCCTTTCCTCCGACTTAGGAACTTTATCCGTTTCCGGATTCCGATCGATGGATGGATGCTCCTCTGGTTCGTGAAAGAAGACTTCTTTCTTCCTGTAATTTTTCCATGTTTGGGTTTCACATTCTGTTTCATAAATGGCTCATTCCACGTCAGTGTCACGTGTAGAATCGCACCCTTTTTACTCACTTCGAGGTACGTACTGACGTAAAAGCAGCTAGTAGCTTTTCATCTTGGCATCTCCAATGGTATGGATGAAGTGTATTATTATATGGGATTTTCTTACATATCTAACTCGATTTTTTTCATTAATTTACTGAGTTTGTGAATCTTATCAACTTAGTGAAGAGTAGTTTGACCTACTCAATAGTCTGGAATATTCCATTTCAAAAAGATGAATCCCAAATTTAGATGGATTCATAAAGAACCTAGCTGCTGACATAATTTGTAAAGTTCTCTAACACGTTTTTGTTTTCCTTTTTTAGAAAAATCTCTTTATTAATTTGATGACTTTATTTAAGCTTATTAACCTCATTAGTTTTTTTATAAATAAAAAAAAAACTTAAAGACTATTCGGTAACACCAAAATCGTCTGGAACTGCTGAAATTGCAAAATTATAATCGGAACGATTGAATTGATTGAATGTGTTGAATTATGTAAAAGTATACTCCGTATTTAATATATATATATATATATATATATATATATATATATATTAATAAAATAAAAAAAATAAAATATTATATGAAAAAATAGGTAAAAGGTTCATCTGTAGTCACTTCAACCTATTTAGCTAAAATACCAAGTCCAATGTTACTTATTTCGATTATTACAGTATTTAACTTGTGATGTCAAAAGTTAAGAATGTTTTTAAACAGATCAGACTAGACCAGTCTTTAAACATAATACACACGTACACGTCTATCAAACCAGACCAGTTTAAACCAGACTAGATTTAAATAAACCCGACCAAAATAGACAAAAACAGACCATATCAGGCTAGAAAGTTTTAATCCATGTACAATATTTTCTTAACTCTATTTGTAATATATATTCTAAAAATAATTTTCATAATTCAACATATTAAGTTGATTTAACTATTTTAATCATAACTTCAACAATTTCATTAGATTCGCCATATTCAACCAACTTCATAATTATCAAATGGACTCTTACTATTTTCTTTTTCTTCTTCTAAATTTGTTCTAAGATATTCATGTCATAACAAATTTAGACATATTTCACGAAGTGACAATTTTAATATATCAATCTTAATGCGAAGGAGATGATACTATTATGTAATTTATGTTGTTAGAATTTGACACAACATGCTATATTTATAATAAAGCGTAATCTCCCATTAGAGAGTGCTTAGAGCATGATCACATTTCAATCTTACCCTCCCTACCTACCACCCTTATCCTATCCTCAAACCCTACCCCCACCCTACTCAAAACCCTTGCCCTAACAAAAACCACATGGAGGATAGGGTATGGGTGGGAATTAGGGGTTGAGGGTTCGATGCACAGCAAAGTGAGGGGGCGAGGGCAGGGGTAGGGTGATGTAGGTTAGGGGATGATAGCTTCCCGGTAAACCACTAGCAGTATTGCTAGAAAGAAGGGAAAACTAAGTTTAGAGAGAAAAAGAGATTGCAATTAATGGGATTCGAACCCATTACAACTGCCCCAAGGGGGATATTTATAGTGGCAATAAATGAATTTGTGCATTAAATTCATTACACGTGTCGGCTATTCTATGGGCGAGATTCCCGAGGTGCTGCAAAGCCTGACGCGTGTCATTCTCTGGTTGACCTCCAATCAGTTGTTCTCTGTTGGTTGAGGTGTTAATGGCTGAGGAGCAGAGGGTGCACTTCCGGCCCGCTAGAAGTAGTTTATGGGCAGACTTCAGGTGTTATTGGACCGAGGTTGTGCAGGGACGGAAGACGGATGCTTGGTCTCTGGCGACCAAAGGTCATGGACGAAGCGTGGGGCTAGAGGCTGGAACAGATCTGGATTTGAGGTCATCCATGTTAGGTGGCGACATAGGAGGCCTGGTAGAGAACATGATGAATAAGAGGCAAGGTGAGGAAGAAGTTACAGTACTGCTGGATCATCCCCGTCCTGAACCGCCGATGTGGAGTGCAGGAGAGTTTGGAAGCAACATTTTAATTTTATTGTTTGCTTGCTATTTATTTTTCATCATTCGGCTGTTTATTTTCTGTTAGTTACCTTTATTGTTGTAAGACTATTGCATTAGGATTGGGTGATGAGAGGTTTGCTTTAATCATCGTTGGCTCATTTTTGAAGGTGATTGACTATAAGTCTGGTTTGAGGACTGACGGTTTCCTGTGGTCCTTTTGTCGTTTTACCTAGCTCCTATCTGAATGTTGTGATATCAATTTAAGCTCTCTTTTTCCAAAAAAACTCTGTTAAGAATATTATTAACACAAACTTTCTCCTTAATCTTCTGTTTATTTCCTTCCATCCATAACATTTCCTTTTGTGGAAGAACTAATATAATCCTCTAATGCTCTACAGTTAAAGTAATTATTTTAACAATCAAAAGTTCTCTTTTTTTTTTTGCATTTTAAAAGCTTTAATATGTTAGGAGTAATAGTTAAACTAATCTTAACCTATTATAATAAAGGGCAGATGTTTTGTTATTATATGCTTAGGTTGAGGGTTAAAGCTTCTTGAAATTTGCTTTATCATGATGTACATTGTGCTATTATTAACGTACACCAAGTAATATGCATCTGTGAAACGTTAATAGACCGTTAATTCGTTAACGGCGTAAGCATGCCGGTTTATAAAAAAACTACGGAGCACTTCGTAATATGGCCTGCTTTTTTCGAATCCCTTTGTGAAGCCAAAGCGACATAATCTTCCCAGCTGGCAGCTGCGTTTCAGAAGTTGGAGCATCAAAACAAAATTCTTACTGAATGAAATTTAAGTAGAGCTGTCAAACGAGCCAACCTGATCCAACCCGACCCGACCCGTAACGGGTTATGCTTTATATGGGTTGGGTCAGGCCAGTGGCGGAACCAGAAAAAAAATTAAGCAGGGGCACAATCACATAATGTAAATCGTCACATTAATAATAAAATTGTCTTAACAAATTACACTAATAAAACATACCAAATTTAATCAAAAAGGTCAACGTAATGGTGCTAAGTCCAACCTACGGGTCCTCATGTTCTGAAAATGTTGGATAATAACCTCATTATCGATGCGTCTAAACACATCTCTTTCTACATAGCAGACTACACAATCAGTAAGATAATCACCTCCCATTTTATTACGTAAGGCGGTTTTGACAATCTTCATCGCTGAGAAAGCTCTTTCCACTGTCGCTGTGGCAACAGGCAAAACTAGTGCCAAATCAATGAGACGGTAAACTAGGTGGAAAACATACAGTATGAATTCCAACTTCAACCATCTTCTGAGATAGATCTCCAATATTCCGCAAATTGGAAAATCTTGCATTCCCTCTCATTTCAGAAATCCAAATTTGAAGTTGTTCTTCAAGTTCCATGCAATCTAGATTTGTGAAATCATTTGGATATAATGATGCAAGCTCAATTAACTTTGCCTCACAAAAATTGGAGAAATTGTTCTTGGGATCAAGACATGTTACACACTTAAGTAATTGTGTCCCAGTCTCACTGAAACGATTGTCCATCTCCATTTGAATTTTGTCGATGACCTATCATATTAAAGTAAAAAAAACTATCAGTTATGAACTAAAATTTTACATAAGAAATATAGTAAAGTATTTACTTTTACCTCATATAAAACCTCATACCGAAGATAGTGATAATTAGTTTTATCACCTCCAACTTAACACGCCTTGACCGAATGTGTGTAGCAGGATCATCCAAATTAATAATTGTGATACCATGTTTCTCACAAAACTTGTTCACATAATTAACAAGACTTTCCCATCCAGTTTCCCTCAAATCTTGCAGCCTCTCTTTCGTAGTTTGAACCCAACTAACAGCCTCAAGAATATTTTGATTTTTTTGTTGCAGAAACTTAGACAAAACATATGTCAAGCCTAATACTTTTTTCATCACATGGGCAACAAAAACAAAATAATAACTCTCCATTTTCTCAATTAAGCTTCCGGCCAATCCTCTACTTTTAAAATCAGCACCATCGTCATATATCTTACCTAGTACTTCAAGAGTTGGAGACCATAGTAATAGCAATCGAAGGATGGTAGTATAATGAGAACCCCACCGTGTAGCTCCTAGTCGAGCTAAGGAGCATTCTTGGTTCAAACCTCTTCCAGTTTCTACTTCTCCCTTCTCTAGCATTTCCACTAACTTTTCCTCTTGTATCTGTCTGAACTCATCTTTTCTTTTGCAAGAAGCTCCAACCATGTTAGTAATCATACTCAAAAATTCAAAGAAATCACTCACAAAACGATTAACCGCCGAAACTGAGACAACAATCAATTGCAATTGATGAGCAAAACAATTGTATCTAGCACATGGATTTTCATTCAAAATCAGAGTTTTCAGACCATTGAGCTCACCACGCATATTCGATGCTCTATCATATCCTTGACCACGTAACTTAGAAATCGACAAACCATATTTGGAAAAGAAATCATCTACGACACTTTTCAAAGAAAGATCAGTAGTATCAACAACATGAATAAGACCAAGAAAACGTTCTATCACTGCCCCATTATCATTAACAAATCTAACAACAACAGCCATCTGCTCTTTTATAGATGAATCACGAGCCTCATCAACTAACAGAGAAAAATATTTTTCCCCAATCTCACCTATTAACTCTTTCCCAGTTTCAGAGGCACATGCGTTAATAAGTTCTTTTTGAATTACTGGACCAGTGAGTTGATGATTGCTCGGTGCATTGTCCTTCACAACCTTTGAAACCTCATCATTCCTTGTACTATACCAATCAAGAAGTTCTAAAAAATTACCTTTATTGGCTGAGTGTTCATGTTCATCATGCCCTCAGAAAGCTAGTCCATGCACAAGAAGAAATCGAACAATATCCAAACTAGCCATGAGGCGAACACGATAAGCGGCCTCTAATTTGTGTTTACCAATGGCTACACGCCTTGTCAAACTCTGCCTTTGATCCTTAAAAACTAAAAAATCAGTTCTAGCATCGTTGTGCGCAATGCTTTTTACATGGTCTCTAAATTTTTCAGGGCCTTTTTTCCAATTACGGAAACCTTTTTTGACAAAAACTTC